AGCTAGAGGTGGCAAACTGGGTTTAGCCCGAAGGGCCGATCCACCAACTTATTTTTATAATTAAATTAAAATTTCATACTTCTTCTTTTATAATTAAATTCATAAATTTGATTTCAAATTTTGTAAATACAAATTTGTAAAACTCAAAATACTAAGGACACCAATCCTTGCAAAAAAATAATTATTTACATAAAATGCTGATAGTTAAAGATGAAAAACTGAGCTTGTCCCGGAGGGCTTGCTCGACCCGCCTACCAACATATTTTTATAATTAAATTCCTAATTTTATAATTAAATTCCTAAATATGATTTTAATTTTTGAAAATATAAATTTGTAAAATTTCAGATACTAACGACACAAATTCTTGCAAAAAATAATTATTTATTATTATTTTGTAAATCTGAGTGTAATAAATGAAAGTCTATCTCTGAAAAATACTGAAAGAAGCCAAGTCAAACTTTGTAATTTTTGAATGACCACAAGACAAGCTAAAACTACAGTGATATATTTTGGAATGACCACAAAACAAACTAAAGTATAAGATATATTTTTTGGAATGACCACAGAATAAATATAAAAATCTATTACATGCTGATATAAAATACTTAATAGTTAGAAGTAACAAAATAGACTCAACTCCAAAGACCGACCCACCATGCCAAACAAATCGATTTTTTTCGTCCGTGCATCCCACGGGTTTATACATTAGTATAGATAAATATGAACCGACAAAATTACTCTGTGGGGAAGCTGTTAAAAGGATAAATCAGGGTTTTCTTATGTTAAATTTAGTTTTTGGGTTTTCGTTTTATCCTTTAACATATCACAACAAACTTTTCTACTATCACAATATTTTGTGGGACCCACATTTTTTAAAACAAAAAAATAAATAAAAAATTAAGGCACACAAAATAAATCTCTATAACATTACACAATCACTTTTCCTACAACATAACTCTTATAAAACCCTTAGTTTTTACGGTAATTTTGTCGATCGGTTCAATTTTGTAAATCGAAAAGCCAAACTGTACGTAGTCCTCGGAAATTGATATATTTTGGATTTAGAAATAAAAAAATAATGATTTGTCTAAAATCAAGAGATGACGTGTCAGTTTAATAGTCCAAAAGTAAAGTTGCAAATTGAGAATTACAAGGAGTCACGTGATCGAATAACATGCATCAACCATAACTTGTAATAAACCAAGGGATTTATAAGAGTTATGTTATAGGAAAAATGATTGTGTAATGTTATAAAAATTCGTTTTGCGTGTCTTAATTTTTTATTTATTTTTTTGTTTTAAAAAGTGTGGACCTCACAAAATGTTATGAGTGTAAGAAAGTTTGTTGTGTTATGTTAAAGGATAAAACGAAAACCCATAAACTAATAACTTATTTTCAAAAAAAAAAAAGAAACTAATAACCAATGAGAAAGAAAAGGAAGGCTTAGTGATTGGATAGTATTCAGGCAAGAGGTTTAATACAAGTTTCAATATTTTTTTTTATATTAGTCAAGATTTTTTTTTGAGCCATTAGATTTTTGGTCTAATGATGAAGGGCTTACATAGTTTATATTATGATATATGTTTAATTCTCATATTTGTATTAAAAAAAGATTTTTTTTTTTAAAGCAAATGACCATTAATTCGCTAAATTTTTTTTTTTGTATCTTTTCTTATACAATTTCAATTGACATTACTGAAGAATGAAGATAGAATCAACTAACTAGAGATTAAGATTTTATATTTAAGGGTTGTTAGATCCGTTTCCGCAACTCTTGCACACAAATTCCACTTTGGACTTTTTTTATATATATTTTATGAAAAATAGATGACCAGGTTCACCTGTCCAGTCAGCACGGTGCCTTTTCGCCGCGATCCTTATTCTAAAATTTTCTTAGCACTTACTTATTGCTAATAAAATAAAGAAAAGGGGTTTGGTGGGAGATTTTTTTAACATGACCGGAAAAGTGAGGGTGGTTATATAAGAATATAACGTTTGGTAGTATATTTTAAATAATTTTCTTATCAATCTCATTTACATAGCAATCTACTATTACGTGTAATATTAGCAAAATTTGATCATTTGATAATACCACCCTCTACATTTGGTAGAGGGAGGTATTCTCATTACCCAAGCAAATGAAAAAGTAGCATTTTTCAATTCAGAACACAAATATCCCTTGACTTAATGTCCCCAAAAAAGATTGGAGAGAGAGAGACTAATATATTTTTGTAAATTCATCTCTTTTTCTAGTAATATTTTACATTCAACCAAATGTAGACTTAGAAAATTTACACTAATTTTTTTGGTAATATTTCGGCCTACCAAAGAACTTTTTTTTAACTTTTCTACCAAACTCATATTCTCATTATATTCCCAGTAATTGAGTTTTTCAGATAAAAAAAATTTGATCTACCAAACGCCCTCTAAAATTAATAAAACAAAGTTTCCTAGCCATGCTTGTATAGTTGTATTCTGTCTATACTACTATGCCAAGATGTGGCAGGCCAGTGTGCGTGGGGAACGGGAAGGAGAATCATATCCTTGAGGTCTATATTTTGAGTTCATGTTGCCCTAAAATTTGGACATGCTTTTTAGGGTACTCGTAAGCAGTGAAGGGAAACAAAGGATTGATGTTAGTTGTTGAATGTGAATCTTCGAATGGCATTTCTATTATTGCTATAAAGTAATTGAAACAAAGCAAAAAAGAACTTGAAAATGGATGTGCATGAGGTAGGAATATATTCCCCATAATGTTTTTCATTCAATCCTTAACTGCATGGACACCATGCATTGCACAAGCCTATCCAGTGAAGGTTTATTTGCAAGTTGGGTGAGTGTCAAGTACAGAGTGCATGCATTGTAAAGTGAGAAAAAAATGTAAAAGCCACTTTTTACTTTGAGATAAAAATGTTGGCAAATTTTGATTTTGAGGTAAAAATGGTTTGCAACTTTTCACTTTGAGATAAAGATGATCCGCCCCTTTTAAATTAATGGGGATATGGTTGGCATAATTGATGGTGTAGATGAAAATTGTAAGAGCAAAAATTACGGGTCTCCTTCATTAGTTTCATCATCCCATTCTCTGAGAAAATTCATATGGTGTGTTCATAGTGTTTCTCCTATATATATATATATATACAGGGAAAAACTAATATTATGTTGTAGGAAAATTCTTAGGTCATGTCATAGAGACAATCAATTGTGGGGTCCACTATTTTTAAAATAAAAGAAAAGTAAAAAAATTGATGGGCCCACTTTTATGTTTGTGTAAGAAAATTACTTGTGTCATGTAAAAGGAGGAAAACATTACCCATATATATATATATATTATATAGAGAGAAAGGAGTTTCGTTCTCTTCGCGAAAAAAAAACACTTTCCACTAAAACCCAGTTAGCGAGGGTGGGGTGAAAATAATCTTTATATATAAGCTTATCCTCCTTACATATAATTGTTATATCTTCAAAATATAATGTAATTGCTTTCTCTTTATATTTAGATGGTTTGCAACTTTTTAGTGTGAGATAAAGGTGATTCGCAGTTTGGCATGAACATTGTCCCACATAAATAAATGTGTCCCTCCTTAGGTTAACCATATTCTCATAAGGAAAATTCATATAATATCTTGTGAGTGTTTCTCCTATTTTATATAAAAATATGTGCATTCACTCTCCTATTTCAACATATAATGCAATTGTTATCCCCTTACCTTTTAAGAGAAATCATAATTTTTTTTCCGCTTAGTGAAAATTCTTCTACTACTATTCATAATTTTTACTGTATGAGTTGAGGAATTTTATTTTAAATATCAAGTGTTAGTTCCTATTTTTTTCCCACCGTTTTAGCAATTTGATACTTTTTCCATAACTGCGGTACCCAACATGCATTTATGCAGGGATGCGATAAGTCGTGGATCGGGTTACCTAATATAGTCATATAATTCAAGGGGGGGACGTGGATTTCAGGGGATATTGGATTCCATTGAGTCTGCCATATAACAGCTTCCCCTCATAACGCCTCACATCCCATGGATATGTTCTGCAATAATGCGTCGGAATCATGCACTATCGTCTCCCACCTTTAGAAGCCCACTTCCCCACACTAAGAAGTAAGAATAACAGAACCAACAGGAAGACAATATATCAATAGTAATCAATTTTATCTACATAAGCAATTTCATCTAAAACATTAAGTAATTTTACTCTTGTAATCCCATGCCAAGGAAATCATATTAGTGGCAGAGATATAAAATCATTTTTGCTAATCGATCTAAATGTTTTAACTTCTAAGATAGTTGATCTATGACAGGTCATAAGGGACTCTGATCAAGTAAATAATAGTTCATTATTTCAGCTCAAGATAAAGTAGGCTTGTTTATTCTCTACCATTCAAGCTCAAAAGGGTTCTTAAATTGATATCTATATTATCAGAAAACAATAAGAGACATTCATGAATCTTGTCCCCTACACAGTAGGTCTTATAACCGGCCAGTATATAAAGTCTCCCAACCCAAGCACTAGACTCACCATCTGGATTCACAAGCTGTTCTTAAACTACTACTCTAAGGACAACAAATCATTGCTTGCGTCACACTTCCTCTTTATTCTTCTATAAGGTAAACTTCTTGTTTATGTGTTTATAATTTAGTCACAGATAATTTACCTATACATGGATGTCACATGCAATCATCTTTTGTAAAATGGATCCTCATGGTTTAATCATATAGAAATTAGGGTACTTGAAGCTCCAATAATTATATTATGCGTTGTAAAATAAACAAGACGTGCAATCTTTACTGAGTATACTAAGATTACAGTTCCCTATGCAAACAATACTTTAATGGATCTCTTTGCCTGTCTTTTCAACTCCAAGTTAGGTACTCATAAGTGTAGAAGACTTATTAGTATTTCTCATTGGCATGTGAGTTTAAGGATACATGCACTGTGAGTTGATGAAAACTAATTTCATGTATATATATATATATATATAATAGGAAAAATGAGTTGGTCTGGAGGAGATTGGATGTGTGATGCTTGCCAGCACATAAATTTCAAGAAGAGGGATTCATGTCAAAGTTGTGGATACCCCAAATTTGGAGGTCCTGACCCATCAACTTATAGGTACAACTGGACTGAAGCATTGGCAGGGGATTGGTATTGCACCGCTATGAATTGTGGAGCTCACAACTATGCTAGCAGATCAAGCTGCTATAGATGTGGTGCATTGAAAGATGATTATTCTTGTGGATTTGGGACAAATATTGAGGCCTCTGGAGGTGGATCTGATAACAATTTTCCCCCAGGATGGAAGACTGGTGACTGGATTTGCACTAGGTCAGTTCACATATCTTCATATATTTTCAGCACTGAAATAGTTTTGCTTCTGTTCGTGTAATTTTCTTAACCTCATTAGCTCAATAAATAGCCTGCCTTCTGTTGCTATATCCAACTATCATAAAAGCTGAATTTAAAAACATGCAACTAAGTTTACCCACAGAAGCTGCATTTCCATGAATTGAATTTGGTATACTAGTCCTTTTCTTCCACCCTGAGAGACAGAGTGAGTCAGACTTTGCCCTTGCACATTGATGATAAGAACGAAATTGTAGGATAAAAGGAAGAATAGTTGAGAAAGAACAATACTGATGATAGTCAACATAAAATAACTCTGTTAATTATATTACACAATAAGAAATGTGAACTACTGTAAAAATACTTTTTAACCTTTTTTTGCCCTTTGTGCATAATGTTTCAGAATTGGCTGTGGAGTGCATAATTATGCTAGCAGGACAGAATGCTTCAAGTGCAAAACACCAAAAAAAATTGGTGAGAAAAGTAGCCTTCATTACGTTTTCTGAGTACTTATTTGAAAAAGAGTGACATGTTGGTTGTATAAGCTATTCAAACTCAGTTCCGTGATACATTTATTACTTCTACTTCAGGTGGTGCATACTGACAGAAGAAATTTCAACTGTCACTGACTTCATCATGTCTTTCTTCCGCAAACAACATTCCATCTAATTTTCCCTAGTTAATTAAGGTCTTTGTTGAATAAACGTTAAATGTGGAGTTATGTGTCAGTTTAATTTTTAATGGGTTTAATTCAGCAATCAATTTAGTTTTTAATGGGTTTAATTCAACAAACGTTAAATGTCAGTTTTATGTTTTTAAGTTTCTGAAATTATGTGAGTTTATTGTGATGTTAAGTGTCTTTATTGTAGAGTTACAATTTTTGTAATTTAAATCTATTGTTTGAATGTAAAAGCTACAACTTCTGCCTTAGTAAAAATCCTTTGTTTTACTCTTCTCCTAACAAATTGGTATCAGAGCTATGGAAAGGGGGAGTGATATGGCACTACCTAAGTTGACGAAGGAGAACTACGAGAATTGGAGCATCCTGATGAAGGCTCTTCTCGGATCCCAGGACGCTTGGGAGAATGTTCAAGCAGGTTTTGTAGAACCACAGGATACTGGAGGCTACTCGGCGGCTCAAACTAAAGCGTTGAAAGAGACGCGTGCAAAAGACAAGCTGGCGTTATTCATGCTCTTCCGAGCTGTAGACGAATCCGGGTTCGAGAAGATAGCAAATTGTGAGACCTCAAAGGCAGCCTGGGACATCTTGGCAAATGTCTATAGAGGAGCTAACCGGGTTAAACAAGTCCGGCTTCAAACCCTTGGTGCCGAGTTGGAGGGAATGAAGATGAAGGACACGGAAGGAGTATCCGGGTTCGTTGCCCGGGTTCAAGGAATTGTGAACCAGTTGAAACGGAATGGAGAAGATATACCTGACACCAGAGTGGTGGAGAAAATCTTGAGATCTTTGACAGACCAGTTCGAAAACGTGGTTTGTGCGATAGAAGAGTCCAAGGATCTGTCTACACTCACCATTGACGAGTTGGCGGGTTCCCTTGAAGCGCATGAACAAAGAAAGAAGAAGGAGGAGGAAACTCTTGAGCAGGTACTTCAGACCAAAGCAACAATTAAAGATGAGAAGATGCTCTATTCTCAAAGTTTCCGAGGTAGAGCACGTGGCCGCAGTGGACGAGGTACTAGTCGTGGTGGTAGAGGTCGAGGCCGAAGTCAAGAAGTGTATGGTGATGAGGTAGGACAGTCAAATCAACAAAACTGGAGAGGACGAGGACGAGGTCGACGAGGAGGTCGGTCACATTATTCAAACATCGAGTGTCACAAATGTGGAAAGTTTGGTCACTATGCGAAAGATTGTAACTCAGACAAGTGTTACAACTGTGGCAAAGTCGGACATTTCGCAAGAGAATGCAGAGAGGAGAAAAAGGTGGAGGAGACGTCCAACCTAGCCACAGAAGGCGAGATGAAGGATGGTGTCTTGTTAATGACACACAGTGAAGGAAATCCTGACGATGACATGGAGTGGTATCTTGACACGGGTGCGAGCAACCACATGTGCAGACATAAACACTTCTTCAAGGAGATGATAAAAGTGGAAACCAAACATGTTTCGTTCGGGGATGCCTCAAAGGTTGAGGTAAAAGGCCGAGGTACGATCTGTTTCCTACAAAATGACGGGTTAATTGGCTCAATTCGAGATGTGTACTATGTACCCGACCTAAAAAGCAATATTTTAAGCATGGGTCAACTGATGGAGAAAGGTTACTCGGTTATTATGAAAGACCGGGTGTTGTATTTGAAAGATGAGCAAGGTCGGATGATAGTCCGAGTTCAAATGGGTAAGAATCGTATGTATAAACTGAATTTGAAATGTGTACAGGTTGAATGTTTACAAGCCGAGGTAGAAGATAAGGCGTCACTTTGGCATCTCCGGTTTGGTCACCTACATTATGGTGGTCTAACCAAGTTGGCAGAGAAAAAGATGGTGGACGGGTTACCTGACATAAACTTTGAAGGAAAGTTTTGTGAGAGTTGTGTACTTGGCAAGCATGCCAGGACCACGTTTCAGAAGATGGCAAGATTCCGGGCTAAGCAACCTCTGGAACTAATACATACCGACTTGTGTGGACCCATCAATCCGGGTTCCTTCAGCGGTAAGAAGTATTTTATTTCCTTTATTGATGATTTCTCACGGAAAACTTGGGTTTACTTTCTGAAGGAGAAGTCCGAGGTGTTTGATGTGTTCAAAAAGTTCAAGGTGATGATTGAGAAAGCAACAGGAAGCTATATCAAATCGGTGCGGTCTGACAGAGGTGGGGAATATACCTCAACAGCGTTTATGTCGTTCTGTGAGGAACATAGGATAAGGAGGTTTCTAACAGCACCATACTCACCACAACAGAATGGCGTGGCTGAAAGGAAGAACCGGACTATTCTTGACATGGTTCGGTCAATGCTGAAGAACAAAAGGATGCCGAAGGAGTTTTGGGCGGAAGCTGTGCAGTGTGCTGTGTATGTGCAGAACCGATGTCCACATTCAAGCTTGGATGACAAAACACCACAGGAAGCATGGAGCGGTCAAAAGCCTTCAGTGGCTCATCTTAGAGTTTTTGGTAGTGTGGCCTATGCACACATACCGGACCAGCTCAGAACCAAGCTCGAGGATAAAAGCAAGAAATATGTTTTTATTGGATATGATGAAAAAATAAAGGGGTACAAGCTGTTTGACCCCGTCAACAAGAAAGTCATAGTGAGCAGAGATGTAAAGCTCAATGAAGCAAATGAGTGGGACTGGAGCAATTCATCTGAGATAAACTTTGAAGACGGAATCACAACACAAATTATCAACCCGGCAAGTCCTGAAGCTTCTGATGATGAAGACGAGGTACGACAACCCAGGATGCGGAGCATACAAGACATATATGAGTCAACAAGTGAGGTACATTTTGTTTGTCTTCTTGCAGATTCTGAAAATATAAGCTTTGAAGAAGCCATCCGAGATAAGAAATGGCAAGACGCCATGGATGAGGAGATAGAAGCCATTGACCGAAATAACACATGGGAGTTAGCCGAGCTACCAAAAGGAAGTCGGCCCATTGGAGTGAAGTGGGTGTTCAAGAAGAAGATGAATGCTCAAGGGGAGATAGAACGATATAAAGCTCGGCTAGTTGCAAAAGGTTATAAGCAGAAGGCTGGAATTGACTATGACGAGGTGTTTGCCCCTGTTACAAGGATGGAGACAATTCGGCTACTCATCTCACAGGCTGCTCAATACAGATGACCAATACATCAAATGGATGTAAAGTCGGCATTCCTGAATGGTGTTCTTGAAGAAGAAGTTTATGTGGAACAACTGCCGGGCTACATGAAGGCAGGAGAAGAGAAGAAGGTGCTGAGATTGAAGAAAGCACTTTACGGGTTGAAGCAAACACCACGAGCATGGAATGCTCGTATTGACAAATATTTCAAGGAGAATGGACTTGAACAGTGTCCATATGAACATGTTGTTTATGTCAAGAAAAATGGAGGAGACTTGTTAATTGTGGCTCTTTATGTTGACGACCTCATTTTTATGGGAAACAATGCCAAGATGATACAAGAGTTCAAGAGCACAATGACAAGAGAGTTCGAAATGACAGATCTCGGTTTTATGAAGTTCTTTCTCGGTTTGGAAGTAAAACAAAATGGGAAGGGAATCTTCGTGTCACAGGAGGCTTATGCAAAAAAGATTTTGAAAAAGTACAAGATGGAAGATTGCAACCCGGTTTCAACATCAATGGAACCCGGTTCAAAACTTTCTAAGTTTGATGGAGGAGACCGTGTTGATGCAAGCAAGTACAGAAGTTTGGTGGGAAGCCTACGCTATCTCACATGCACGAGGCCGAATATCTCGTTGAGTGTCGGCATAGTAAGTCGGTTCATGGAGGAGCCAAGATACACACATTGGAAGGCGATAAAGAGAATTCTGAGGTATGTTCAAGGTACAGTTTCACACGGGTTACACTACTCGAGCTCGGCAAAATACAAGTTGATTGGATATTCTGACAGTGATTGGTGTGGAGACCTAGATGATCGAAAGAGCACGGCTGGTTATGTGTTTTTCATGGGCAACACGACATTCACTTGGATTTCGAAGAAACAACCTATTGTGACACTGTCGACATGTGAAGCTGAATATGTAGCTGCATCTTGGTGTGTTTGTCATGCAATGTGGCTCAAGAATTTGCTAAGCAAGCTGGAGGAAAAACAAGTCGGCCAAACTGTGATCCGAATTGACAATAAGTCGGCTATAGAGCTAGCCAAGAACCCGGTAAATCATGAAAGAAGCAAGCATATTGACGTCCGATTTCACTTCATCCGGGATCAAGTAAAGGAAGGAAATGTGGAGCTAACACACGTGACCAATCAAGAGCAAGTCGCGGATATCTTCACGAAACCACTACCGACGGTACTCCTTGACAACTACAAGAAATTGATCGGCATGAAGGATGGCAGAAGCATTTAAGTTTACGGGGGAGTTTTGTTGAATAAACGTTAAATGTGGAGTTATGTGTCAGTTTAATTTTTAATGGGTTTAATTCAGCAATCAATTTAGTTTTTAATGGGTTTAATTCAGCAAACGTTAAATGTCAGTTTTATGTTTTTAAGTTTCTGAAATTATGTGAGTTTATTGTGATGTTAAGTGTCTTTATTGTAGAGTTACAAGTTTTGTAATTTAAATCTATTGTTTGAATGTAAAAGCTACGACTTCTGCCTTAGTAAAAATCCTTTGTTTTACTCTTCTCCTAACAGTCTTGAGTAATCATGTACAGAGGCACTTTGTTAGAATCAAAGCCATGTTTTCCACATCCGTTGTTGTTTAATGTTAGAAGTTTTGATAAGAAGGTTATTAAATCCGTCTATATTACTTGTCCTATTGACTACTAAGATAATTAAGCTTTAAAGGCTATGACAAAATTTGGCCCTTACTTTCTCCATTGTTTGCGTTCCCAAGTGCACATGTATGTCACAAACACATGCAGAGAATGTGAAAGACAGAGCAAAAGCATGAGGAAGACAGAGATTGTGTGCTTGTCAGAAGAGAATATTTGCATGGTTGTTTGATCAGAAGAGAATATAGACCCATGTATTGAATCACCATATGCAGCAGATTCAAACTATTAATACTGAAATAATATATCATGCACATGATTATAAAACACCAAATGACAATAAATCAGAGTTGTAATTATGTGTACGTTGTTGTGCCATCACAAA